TATTATTATATATATATATATATATAATATATATAAATATATATATATATATATATATATATATATACATTATATATATAATATATATATAATAATATATATATAATATATATATATATATATAATATATTATATATATATATATATATATAATATATATATATATATTATTAATATATATATATATATATATATAATATATATATATATATATATATTTTTATTATATATTATATTATAATAATATATATATATATATATATATATATTTTATATATATATATATATATATATATATATATATATATATATATATATATATATATATATATATATATATATATATAATATTAATATATATATTATAAAATATATTATTAATATAATATAATATATACATATAAATATTTATATTATATATAAATACATAATAGATTAAACATATAGTTATCATTGTGTGTATGTGTGTGTGTTGTGTGTGTGGGGTGTTGTGTGTGTGTGTGTGTGTGTTGTGTGTAATATTTACAGAACGCACACAAGCAACTGTCAAAGCACCGACTTTTCACCACTTGAACATAAGAACATAAGAAAGAAGGAACACTGCAGCAGGTCTACTGGCCATGCGAGGCAGGTCCAATTCTCTCACCGCTTAAGCCAATCCCTTTAACCAAGTCGGTCAGTCACATTCACTTAAGGAAAGAGCACGGTATCTGATCTAGTAGCACAAGCTAGTCAGGTCCAACTCACACCCACCCGCACTCGTGTCTTTATCCAACCTATTATAAAACTACACAACCGTTAAAATAAAATTTTAGTTTCTCAAACCCTCGTAAAACCCAGTCTTGAAGACGAACACTTCTGCAACATTTAGGAATAAAGATTACCAAACGTTGCACAAGTCTCTTATTCTTCAACTTGTCAGTTTTCTAAACTGTTTCCGTCACATAATTTAATCTTGTATCACGATGGAAGTAAATGGTATAAAATACCGACACAATGGAAATATAAACACATATGCAGTCAATAAAAGGATCACATTATACTGCATATGTGTTTATATTTCCAATCTTGTATCACAACGTGCAAGATGCCTTTTACTTAAATATGTGTCACAGTACACAAATTATTTATGTGTCACAGGTTTGGAGTTTTCCTGGGTATTTACCCCCAGAATATTGTTACCAGCAGGATGATGCCCAGTTAAGTAGGAGAGAAATTTCTATCTCTGTTCGTCAGAGTTATTTTCCTTAATAATACAGAAGAAAAGCTCTGTGGATAATTATTTTTAATCTTTCAAAAATATCACAGGTATATCAGATATATGAACACCTTTTTTCCCTTTAATTTGGGTAAAATAAATCGAAAATAATAAAAAGAATCCAAATCATATATATTAGAGAACATACATCAAAGTATATATATTTATCAGTCACACAACAGTTTATAGCAGGTTAGGTTAGGTTAGGTTAGGTTAGGTTTATCAGGAAACAGGACTATTCCTGACGTGGGTCTTAGTCATATGATGACCCACAGCTGGAGCTTTTGGTCATCTGATCGAGGCCTTCCACTGTCTTATCGGGCCCCCCCCCCCTCTTTAAAAATAATTTTTTTATCAAGATAAATATTTTCTATTTATGGAGTTAGAGAATAAGGGAACTGTTCGCAAGTAATTTTGACTTTGTATAAAAAGTTATGCCTAAATTACAGCACAGCGACTTACACACGAAGGAATAATTGCTTCATTACCAGGAATCTCCCAAAAAGGGGAGGTTGAAAAATCATGGCAGCAACCCCCCAGTTCCTGATTGTGCATTTGTTACGACGATTCAACAAGGTTTTTATGTTCATTCAGCGGGTTTTTTTTTTCCCCCGGAAATATTTTAGAATTTAAAAAACCCCTTTTAAATTAAGGTTTTTATTTTCCTTTTTTTAAAAATTAAATTTACCTTTTTTAAAATTTTAAAAAAATTTTTTTTTGGTAAATTTATTTTTAATTTTAAAAATTAAAAGATAACGAAAAAAATTTCCAAGGGTAAAAAATCTTTTAAAAAGAAAAAAATATATTATTAAAAATAAAAAGGGTATATAATTATAACACCACTTAAGGGAAAAATTAAAAATAGTTTTAAAAGAAAAACTTTTTTAAATGTTTTTAAATTAAAGCCCCACGTTTTGTTTGTTTGGGTTTTGTTTACGGCCCCCCCCCTCTTTTAAGTCCCCCCTTTTTTTTTCCCCCCCCCCCCCTTTTTTTTCCCCCCCCCCCCTTCAAAAAAAAATTTTTATTTTTTAAAAGAAAGATATTTTTTTGATTTAGGGGAAGTAGAGAAATAAAGAAACGGGGGGGGAAGATTTTTGTTTGTTTTTGCCTTTTAAGCACGCGCTTCCAAAGGAAATGCCTTCAGGAACTCGACGGGGGGGTTTGAAATGGCCCCCCCCCCGTTTGTTTGTTTCGTGTTGTTCGCTTTTTTCAATTCCCCCCGGGGTGTGTGTTATTTAAGCTTTTGTTTTTTTCTTATTTCTGTTTAACCCAACCTTTGCCAAAACATCTTTACCCTTCTTTTTTAACCCCGAAAAGTTAGGAATTTCAAGAAATTTTTTTGTCGTTATCCGGGGTTTTTTAAGCGAGGAAGGAGCCCACCTTTTTTTTAAAGCGGGTTTCCCCTCTAGTAAAATCACTTTTTTTCTTAAAAATATTAACCAAAAATTTATTTTTTTCGGGCGACAGGACCTGTCTTCATACACCATACCCAGCAGAACCCTTTGTGCGGACAGGCATGTCACCCTAACGCCCACGCCCGGGGTTCATAACTGACTGCCCGACCTCGAAATTTTGAAGAAAAAAAATTTTAATAACATAAATCAAGCAGGAAATGTTGACATATCAGCAAAAATTAAAAAACACAAGGGCCCTCTAATGCTAAAAAATTTGCTTATAACAATGCTTTCAAATTGTACCTAAAATTCGTGGGTGGGGGTGAATGTTCCTTCATCACTTTCCCCTTGAAATTTCCTCAATTCATGCCTGGAAACTTAGGATTTTTATCAATGTTATCCATTTTCATGACTTTTTTCCCTTTCATTTATTATTTTCTCTTCTGTTTCTCAGTTTAGAAAAAACGAAAGCTGATAAATAGTACACTTTTTGAAGCAAAAATAAAGATCCCCAATGTTGCCAATGTCATATATATAAAAAACCCACACTCTGAAGCCTCTGACGGCGAAACCGCAATTTTTAAAAAATTAGCTTTATGCAGAAACAGAAGAAATTTTTTTATGGGAAACTTTAGTGGTTACATCTTTATTATTTTGTTTCTTTTTTTTTTTTTTTTTAGTTTGGGGCTTTTCTTATATAATTTTAGTACCTTTAACTAAACACGCTTCATGTTTTGTTTTCATTTCGCGGAGCACATTCCCCTTTCCCATACCTACACACCCCCTCACCAAGTCGTGTTTTGTTTGATTTCACTCCCGGCTTCATATTTGCGTCCTGTTTTTCACTTTACCCATATCCGACACGTCTATCCTTTATGAATCTTTTAGAAATCTCTCCTTTCATAGGACTGGGCATGTCGTATTTGTCTAGAGGCTCACGGGGCAGGCAAGCTTCCTGCTGATCAACGGGCACTTGGCTTTTCACTCAGCTCTTTTGGGCGGTTTGATGTTGGCAGACCTCACTGGAGGGTACTAAGCGGTAATCATAGACACAGATCGCATTAAACTCTGTGAAAGTTAAAACATTGTCCAACACAGGTTATCTTTTTTTGTAGAGTTTACAATGTCATGTAGGGGGGAATGATTAGGGGGAAAATGGGGGAAGGGAGGGATTAGAAGGGAGGGGCGCAGGGGAGGGGGTAGGAGGAGAGATTACGGAGGTAGGTAGTAATGAAGGGCGTGGTACCACCAGAAAACTCTCATTAACTCACACATTATTAACATATGCCCTCGCCCCTTCTTCACTCAAAAACATAATAAAATAAAGAAAAAAAAATAAATAACGGGGACGTGAAAATTACTATTTTTCTCAAAAACATTTTTTTTATTAAGTCCCCTTTCAAAAATATTTGGGGCAGGGTACGTCATTGGTTTAGATGAAAGGGATGGATGTATAAGCATGAGACGGGGGGGGACAATCAACTTTACGAAAATGAATATAAATTACAAATAGTACAGAGGCGTTCATACAGGAACTAAGCCACCGGGGCCCCAAGACCTACACAGCACGAGTATGCCCAAACCGTACCTTGCCCAATGTTCAGAGTCCCTCCAGAGACTTCAGCACCCTTTTCCCGAGCCCCGCACCCCCGCAGCAGCTCCCCGAAGTCTTCTCAGAGCCTGCACCCCAGCAGCAGCTCCCCTCGAATCTCTGCCAGGAGCTCTGCAACCCAGCACACTCCCCTCGAATCTCCCTACTCAGCCCTTCCCCGGGGTTTTTTGGTGGTCCAAGCACCCCCCCACAACCCGGTACGACCTGACGCCTAGTCTGACCCCTCCAAACAAAAGACCTCAGACGTGGGCGTGGCTACAACATTTTCCCAAGGGAAGGTGGACCAATAAGGTTAAAAAGGGTTTCCCCAGGACCTCCAAGCCCACTAACTACTCCAACAATAAAATAAAGTCCGATAAAGAAACCAAAATGTCACAAGTGTCTTAACTTTTATCTGTCTGTATTGTAAACCGTCTTGCCGCATTAAACTCTGTTGAAGAACGAAAATATTATGATGCAAGTTTAATTTTTTTTTATAATTCTTTGTTTTTTTTGTACTGGTGATCACGTCAGTTTTTGGGTTCCCAAAGGGGTTTCACCCCACCGTCCCGGGTTGGGGCCTCATTTAATCGAAGAGGGTCACCAAGTGCGGATGCCTGTCGGGGGTTTGGGTTTTCATTGTTACCTAAATTAACTGAGAGTTGAGTATATTTTGATAATTACGCATCACAAAAACACACAAGGGTCATTTAGACCTGGATTTGGGCAAAATATGATCATGGTATATCGTCCACAGATCAGTTAGAGTATGGTAAGGCTGCTGTCAAATGGGCCACAGACTACTTCCTTAAGGCTCACACCGCTAAAGATGAACTCTATGGTCAGGTTTGTATTCTCTCTGCAAACTACCTGATTCATGATATTAAGAAAAAGTTGCTTTGTATAGTATATCAGTAGAATGATTTCTGAGGGGGGCAAAATTTTATTCAGCTTATCGAGAGTGATTTGTATTAGGGGCAAGAGTTAGGGAGGTGTAAAGTTAGGGATTACTGGGGCAGGAGGTTTTTCACTTAAAAGAAATATTAGAGTTTCCCTCAAAGATAATGTTTCATCTAACTGCTAGCTCTTAAAAAGTTAAGTTTGCGCAAATAATGCACGATTTTTTTTTTTTTTTGTAAACAATCGTAGATCTGCTTATTGGAAGACTAGCATTTATTCTATTACTAGTAAGTCACAGGAAATGTTGAAACGAGGAACCGAAAGTAGCCACCGATTTTTAAGGCTTCTATTAATGCCCTTTTTTTTATGTACACTACTTGCTGGTATCTTCAGGTTGGAGCTGGAGGACCAGACCACGCTTTCTGGGGACGCCCAGAGGACATGACCATGGAGCGACCCTCTTACAAAATTGATGACGGACATCCAGGTTAGTTTATGTGAAATCTACCCAGTCAACAATGTGTTTGTCTATGAACATAAACGAAGATAAATGAAGATAAACGACTTCTTCTCAACCATAGGATCTAATCTCGCCAATAAAATCCCACATACCAATGCCCATGCCGGGGACTACCTAGATGGGAATTTCTCAAACTCCTTCTATCTTGCACCAACTGAGCCCACGGAAGTCACCGAGATTATAAAATCACTTAAAAATATCTCAGGGAATCTGTCTCATGTCCCACCATTACTGTACAAGCGAGCGGCCCATGTCCTTTCGCATGCTATTTCATTACTTTTTAACAAGTCACTAGAAACTAGCACCTTCCCGAAACTACTCAAGATGGCAAGGGTTACACCAATACATAAAGGTGGCGACCCTACAGACTTAAACAACTATAGGCCAATATCAAACTTACCATTACTATCCAAAATCTTTGAGAAACTTGTGCACAGGAGACTATATTCTTTTTATAACGGGACAAAACATACTCAACCCCTGCAATTTGGATTCAGGAAAAATAAAAGCACTAATGATGCAATCATAAAATGCTAGATCTGCTTTACACAGCATTGGAAAATAAGGAATATCCACAAGGAATTTTTATTGACCTAAGAAAAGCTTTTGACACAGTAGACCACGACATCCTACTCCACAAACTTGACCATTACGGTAAAAAGAGGCCATGCGCTTGCTTATTTCAAATCTTCCCTTACTAATAGGTATCAGTATGTCACCATTAAAGCACAGCATCAACAAACCGGCCACTTGATACTGGAGAATCCGCAGGGAAGTGTCCTTGGTCCCCTGCTCTTCCTCATATACATCAATGATCTTCCAAACGTATCCCAACACCTGAAACCCATTCTCTTTGCTGACGACACGACTTATGTCATCTCTCACCCTAATCTTGCCACCCTCAACACCATTGTTAACGAGGAGCTGATCAAAATATCGACTTGGATGACAGCCAATAAACTTACGCTTAACACTGACAAAACCTACTATATTAGTTTGGTAGCAGAGCAGGAGATGCACAAATTAACATTAAGATCGACAACACTCTAATACCAGACATAATGAGGGCAAATTCCTAGGCCTTTTACCTTGACAACAACCTGAATTTTCAGCACCCATATCCAAACAAAACCCAAAAAAAAGTATCCAAAACGGTTGGGATCCTCTCCAAGATACGATACTACGTGCCGCAAAATGCCCTTCTCACACTATACCACTCATTTATCCATACCTCACCTATGCTATTTGTGCTTGGGGATCAACTGCAGCAACACACCTAAAGCATAATAACCCAACAAAAAGCTGCAGTAAGAATAATCACTAAATCCCATCCCTGGCAAACACACCCCCCCACTCTTCATAGATCAAAACTTACTCCCTGTTCAGTACATCCACCCTTACTACTGTGCAATCTACATCTACGGGACCTTAAACTCCAATATCAACCTTGACCTAAAATGCTTTCTTGTTTAGTTGTGACAAAAACCCCCAGCATAACACCAGACACAAACATCTCTACGACATTCCCCATGTCCGACTAAACCTTTACAAAAATTCAATGTATATCAAAGGCCCTAAAATCTGGAACACCCCCTGAGAACTCTAGAACTGCGGGACACATTCATCACCTTCAAAACTACCATTAGAAAACATCTTATCTCCCTGATACACCCTGTCAACTAACTACACGAATACCACCTGGTGGTTCACACACTCACTCACCCATTTGACCAAAAATAGAAAATTTTAAATTTCTAAATCTTAAAATAATGAATCCTGTGATACTCCAGTACTGAAACTATGTACTGTGCCAATACAAAAGCATTCACATTGCTAAACTCACAAACTAGTATTTAGTCACTTAACCATAATACCAACTTATCTCATAATATGTAATATTTTAAAATTAAGAATTAAACTAAGTCTGCCCGAAATGCCTAGCCATGCTAGGTGTTCTAGTGGTACACTCTGTAATCATTATTTTACTACATGTAAACCACACAATAACCAAATTCTGTAAACTCAGCATTGTAATCCTTATAGAGAATAAACTTTGAATTTGAATTGAATTTGAATTGATTTAGTTTCACATTAAGTTGGAGTATGTGCTGTAGATGACATCAGGCATGAAACATTTGTCATTGATTCTTCTCATTGTTGATATAATATTAAGAGATCCATAACTGTCTCCCTGAAATGTACACTTAGTATTCTTAATGTTGATATAACATTAGTGACTGGAATTGTCTCCCTTCTATAGGAAGTGACTTGGCCGGTGAGACAGCCGCTGCCCTTGCTGCAGCATCCATAGTCTTCAAGGTAATAACTCGCTATTTTTATCTATTCAATGTTTCCATTACATACGGTCACCAGCATTTGGCAAATGTGTTGTACCTCTTACAATATTTATTCCAATGTATCGTCTTCAGTATTTTGATATTATCCCTTCAACATTGTCAAATTTATTCAATGAGAGGAACCCCTACGATATTTATCTTCCTTCCTAGTGGTTTACTTGAGATTTCTATACATCTCTAATCTAAATTTCTTCAGTTTTGTAAAAAAACAAAAAAAAAAATGTTCGCTTGACATAATTTATAATTTACCCACACTCAGTGTAACTCGCTTATTTCATCAGTCATCAGACTCTGCTTACTCTGAGGAGATGTTAAGTGTGGCGAAGGAGCTCTACGATTTTGCTGACGCACATCGTGATATCTACACTAATGCCATTACTGATGCAACAGCGTACTACAAGTAAGATTAAATCTAAGTAATGTGTTATGTATAATAAATGAATGAGCCATGAATATATCCAGATTTGATCATGAAATTAGGTACTTTCAACCAATGTAAGTTATGCACAGGTCAAAGAGCTTAATTAAGCTGTTCAACATATGCTTCTCCCCAGCTCGTGGAGCGGCTATGGCGACGAGCTGGCCTGGGCAGCACTGTGGCTGGCAAGGGCCACTGGCGACGATACTTACCTCACACGTGCAAGAGGACACTGGGACGAATTCGACTACACAGGGTCTGAAGTAGTCCAGTTCTCTTGGGATGACAAGAGGGCCGCAGTGTTCGTAAGTTTTTATTTAGATTTAATTGCAGCTGTATTCAGTGCATTTATTATCCATACTAGTTATAATACGAGTATTCTTAAATGCATTGACAATGGATGTATGAGAATGGTCGCATAAAATTTTTTTCGTCTATAACATAACCCTCTAAAATAATCTGATGTTACACCATGTAAACTATTGAATTTAATGCTTGTCTTGTTTGATAGATTAAAAAAAGCAAAGTTTTACTATAAGTCTGATAGAACACACTTATAACAGAGGGAGCCCTTATGTGGACAACGTTTCGCTCATATATTGGCTAAATGTTGCCTGAAAGACTTGCTCTACTGCTTTTGTTTTTATAATCTTAAGGCTACTATCATTCTTCGTCTGGTAACTGCCACTAATATGCTCTACTCTGGCATTTACAGGAACTCTTCTATATGTTGGACGGCGGAGATGAGTACAAGAACGCTTTCGTCAGTTTCTTGGACTGGGTAAAGAACGACGCCCCATACACTCCCGAAGGCTTGGTCTTCCTCGACGCATGGGGTGCTAATCGTCATGCTGCTAACGTTGCTTACCTCGCTCTCTATGTTAGTTTCACTTACCATACATTGGATTCCACTAGGAAGTTTGGCTGGGAGAACAAGATTTCCGCCTTGCACTTAACAGCAGGAGGAAATCATTACAATTAATGAAGAACATTGAAATTGTCACTTACTCTGCTTCTGCATTTAGCACATTAGAGAAAAGAGATGACGTACTGAGCATTCATGCTGTAATGCTTCTCGTATGACTAATTATTTTATTTCAGGCTGCTAAGCTCGGTCTCGACGCAGAAGAAAATCGTGAGTGGGCCAAGGGCCAGATCGGTCAGCTGCTGGGAGACAATCCTAAGTACCAGTCCTTCGTTGTGGGCTACGGTGTGAACCCTCCTGAGAAGCCTCACCACCGCTCCAGGTACACACACACACACACACACACACACACACACACTATTCAAACAAAAAAATGAAGACGATGTAAGACCATGTTTGTCCCATTTTGCTTTTTTCTTAAATTATAATCTATAAACTTTGCCTATCACTCACTGTTACCATTACTGTCTGTTACCATCACTGCTACCAACACACCTTGATACCATCACCCTCCGTTACCAACATTTCCACCAACACACCTTGATACCATCACCCTCTGCTACGAACATTTCCACCAACACACCTTGCTACCATCACCCTCTGCTACCAACATTTCCACCAATACCTTGCTACCATCACCCTCTGCTACCAACATTTCCACCAATACCTTGATACCATCACCCCCGCTACCAACATTTCCACCATCAATGGGCACACATCACACAGATGATCAAGAAATGTATTTCTTCCTCAGCTCCTGCCCCAACCCACCATCTGACTGCTCGGGAGGTTTTACAAACCCTGGTCCAAACCCTCATGTCCTCTACGGTGCTCTTGTCGGAGGACCAGCACAGGTTAGTTTCTCTAGTTCATTCACAGGGAAGCACTAAATCGCTAAATTACCACTAAATTAGAGCTTGGGTAGTGATTCAAGGAAAAGCAGGATAGCTCTAGGCTCGGGGTACTGGACACTTAATCGAAGTTCAAGCTGAGTTCCAGAAAGCTTAAAAAATGTTTTGTGGATGAAAAACATAGATGAAGAGAGTCAGGAAAAATAGAAGCAACAAATTTAGTGTTACTAATTACTGTTTTACGATATATGATTTAAACCTTAATGTAAAAAAATGTATAAATAACAGTTAGTGTATTTTAAGAGATATTAGATAAAGAGATATAGATGCAGGCAATGTGACAAGTAATGTGACTCCTGGAGAGCGAAACGTTGCCACAGTGTCAAATTAGTTGCATATTTGTCCTTTCACCTAACACTATGTTGGTAATTCTACCATTGTTAGTAATTTTAAGTGATGACAAATTAATTGATTACAAAGAGCAGAGAGGCAGGGAAAAGAGAGGAAGGGAGAGATGGAGAGTGTATTCTTATACTGCAAAATGGCATTTCTCAAATTTAAATTTAACTTGAAGTCTAAACTTCATTTAAATTTGAAAATTAAACAAAATCTCAGTACAATGAATGATATGAAAACTCTTTTGTCTACTTCTATAATTACTTCTGCAATTATACTACTTCCTCCTCTCGTTCTACCACTCCCGACCCCATCCCTCTCTTATATATATATTATATATATATATATATATTTTATATATATATATATATATATTATATATTATATAATATATATATAATATATATATATATAGGGAAGTACCACCTCTATAGCTGGAATGGGGACCCTCATCCTCAGAGAAGACAATAAACGTACCTCAGGGAAAACTCAAGGTTCTCCCCGGAGCTGTTTAAATATTTTCTTCTCCTACCACCCCCTATATATTTTATATTCTATGTGAACATTTATTAATAAACAGAATACATTTATAGAAAAAACAAACGTGAATACAATGGCACAATGTATCAAAGATCATGAATTTCCTCCAGCTTCTCCAAGGCTGGATGCGAGCCAAGTATGCAGCAAGCATTTCCCCTCTGGATGGCTACGCTGAGGCGCTGGAGCATGAAAGCAGCTGCCCTTGGGTCCCTGGTGGTGTCGATGAGTCTGGAACCCAGTTCTTTAAGGAAACGTGTGGCATTTTTTCCCCATGATCCCAAGGTCTCTGATCCCACTGGGACAAATTGATACTGTTGGCTTATGTCCTTGTACTTGCTGATCTTGTACTTCTCCCTGTGGTCAGCAGCTCCTCCCTGTCACCCCACACTGTGATGGATATAAAAGGTCCCTAGGCCCCCGAAAAGGTCCCCAGGCCCCAGAAAAGGTCCCCAGGCCCCGAAAAGGTCCCCAGGCCCCAGAAAAGGTCCCCAGGCCCCAGAAAACGTCCGCAGGCCCCAGAAAAGGTCCCCAGGACCCAGAAAAGGCCCCCAGGCCCCAGAAAAGGTCCCCAGGCCCCGAAAAGGTCCCCAGGCCCACGAAAAGGTCCCCAGGCCCCGAAAAGGTCCCCAGGCCCACGAAAAGGTCCCCAGGCCCCAGAAAAGATCCCCAGGCCCCAGAAAAGGTTCCAAGGCCCCAGAAAAGGTCCCCAGGCCCCAGAAAAGGTCCCCAGGCCCCAAAAACGTCCCCAGGCCCCAGAAAAGATCCCCAGGGCCCCATAAAAGGTCCCCAGATCCCAGAAAAGGTCCCCAGGCCCCAGAAAGGGTCCCCAGGCCCCAAAAAGGGTCTCCAGGCCCCAAAAAGGTCCCCAGGCCCTCGAAAAGGTCCCCAGGCCCCAGAAAAGATCCCCAGGCCTTAGAAAAGGTCCTCAGGCCTCAGAAAAGGCCCCCAGGCCCCAGAAAAGGTCCCCAGGCCCCGAAAAGGTCCCCAGGTCCCAGAAAAGGTCCCCAGGCCCCAGAAAAGGTCCCCAGGCCCCAGAAAAGGTCCCCCGGCCCCAGAAAAGGTCCCCAGGCCCCCGAAAGGGAGATCCGACAATAAGACGGAGAAAAGGAGTGGGCTAAGAACAGATCCCTGGGGCACTCCCCGGTATACAGAACAGGGTGAGGACAAAGCGCCACCCACTGCTACACGAAAGGTCCTCCCTTGCAAAAAGTTGCGCATCCAGCAGAGGGTAGCTCCTGTCAGTCCCATGCGGGCCAACTGGAAAACAATCGCTGTGTGTGATGCAGTCAAATGCTCTGCGTAGGTCCAAAAATGCAGCTAAAAGGAACTCTCGACATTCAAATGAAGTATGCACAAGCTGTGTAAATTGAAGCAAAGGGTCGAGGGTGGATCGACCCTCTCGGAAGCCACTCTGGTTTTCAGGCAGGAGGCCATGTTCCTCAATCCACCAAGAGAGACGAGTAGCCACCAGTCGTTCCAGCACCTTACCCAAGCAGGGCAGTAGAGCAATGGGCCGGTAAGAGCTCGGTTGGGTATCATCCTTGCCCGGCTTTAGAATCGGAACCAGAAGAGAGTGTTTCCACATATCAGGAAAGACACCTGTATACCAGCTGGTATTGAAAACCTCCAGCATAGCTTCTGTACAGGAGGGAGGTAGATGTAGTATAAACGAATAGAGTAAGTTGTCCTCCCCCGGAGAAGAGCGGGAAGAAAGTTGGGAAAGTGCCCGCTGCAGTTCATGGGAGCTAAAGGAAGATGCCAACACCTGTCATTGAACCTCGGGTACAGCAGGTGGCAAAGGGCCCCATTTGATCATCTTAGAGGGTAGAGGAGGAGGAGGAGAAAACATTGGACAGAAGAAATTTGCAAATGTCTCAGCCTTGTCCTGGGGTAAGAGTGGAGTCGCTCCTTCCCCCAGCAGGGAAAAAGTACTTACAGAACGTGATCCCAACATGGAGTGGAAGAAACCCCATGCCTGGCTGGCAGAGGTACGAAAAGAAAGAGAAGAACAGAATAAAGCCCAGGATGCACGTTTCACCTAGAGGAGGGTTCGCCGACAAAGAGCGTCTGCCCTTCGGTAAGCCAACTGCTGAGTCCGAGAGGGTTGGCGCCGCCACCGTGCCCACGCTGTCCGATGCACCTTCACTGCTCGGAGGCACTCATCATTCCACCATGGAACCCGGGGCCATGAACGGGAGAAGCTCCCGGAGAGACAGAATGAACGTGAGCCCGCCTCAAGCATGGTCCCTTGCAGAGACGCGACAGCCTCATTCAGCAAGGAGTCCTGAGGCAGGCTGTAATCAGCAAGTGCCCGATTATAGGTTGTCCAACCAGCTTGGGTGATTTTCCACCGTGAACGAACTGCCGTCACCGGCACTGCTAAGGCTTCATTTGTAGAAGTAAGTACTGGAAGATGGTCACTCCCCATGAAGGGGCCTACAGTAACAGTAGCTGTAGTAAAATATCCACACCCAAGAACGAGGTCTAGGGTAGAAACTCGCCCAGTATAAGGATCCACTCTAGTCTCCAAACCTGGTGGTGTGAGCAACGAAAGGTGAGGTGCGAGGAGGGTTTGGAACAGGGCCCTACCTGTGGGATTCACTGATCCCAAAGAAATGGATGGCTCTCAGAACTGGTGCCTTGCATTAAAGTCTCCCATCACAAGCGTAGAACCACGGAGTTGTCCAAAGTAATAAGTAAATTCACTTTGTGTAACCGACCTGCCCAGATTATAGATCAGGAGTATGTTGCACCACTGAGTGCCCAAGGCAACTCTCACAGCCAGAGTTTCCAACACTCCACTCTCATAGGCTTGGAGGGAGAGGGCTGTACTCTGGAGCCGGTTGCATACAAGAAGAGCTAGGCCACCTCTGCTCCCTTCAAGGCGATCCCTACAGTAAACAGTGAAGCCAGGCATCCGAAAAGAATGTCGAGGGCATAACCATGTCTCAAAGAGACCCACCACCAGTGGCTGTACCACAGCCAGATACCTCTGAAGGTCTGGAAGCTTCCCCAGTACAGAACGTGCGTTCCAAAGAAGAAAAACAGAGGGGTGAGAAAGGTTCATGTGTGTGAACTAAGCAGCCCAATAAGGCGAGGGAGAACCGAGAGACATGCAGTCACAAAAGAGGTGCCCTGGAGGTAAGAATGTAGCACCTCCTCCACCAGGAGGAGGATAGGATGAAGGAATAAAGCCCAGGCAGGCGAGAGTGAGAAAGCGGGACCTTCAGACATGAAGGGTCCCGGAGTGGAAACAGGCCGAGGCTGGGGTTGAGGAGAATTGGGGTGGGGAGTCGGCTGCGAGACGGGAGGCTCCGGGTCGGGTATGATGTCCATCTGAACTGGGTGGGGTTCTGAACAACGAGTCGATTTGGGAACTGTACCACCTCGACGTGAGGACGTGCGTTGTGGACGAGGGGGGGGGGATGTGCAATAATTTTCGCAATGGAAGCCGGGTCCGAGGACACCCTAAGTTGAAGTTGCCCCAGGGGTGGGGAATCCTCTAAAGGTAAAGAGAGGTCCGCAAGAGCCCCAAACCGATTTGTAACAGGGATATTAGCCCTCACAGCTGCGGAGTACAGATGCCCTGGCCGTGTTGGTGTTGGGGAGACTTCCTTAGTGGGGGGCACTGGAGGCTAAGGAGGCAGGGGCTGACGGACTGTGACTGGCTTTACGGACCGCAACCAAGAGTTATATTCATCGAGCGTACAAGACCGGACCCTGGCTGAGTTTGCCAGATCAAGAGCCTGGCGATATGCCGGGCAAGACCGGGAGGTAACCTTGTGGTTCCCCTTACAGAAGTAGTATGAAGCCGGGCGGGTACAGGTGATGCCGTCTTTAACTACTGGGTGAAACCCTCTGCAGTTCGCACATCTTACCTTACCACGGCAAGACAACTCTCCATGCCCGAAAAGGAAACATTTCCGACACTGGAGTAAAGGAAAAGTATAAGGAAGAACAGGAAATCTTAGATTGCCAAAAGTCACAAATTTTGGGAGGGCACCCAAGAAACATACACGAACCATACGAGATGGGGTAAGATGATTCGAGAGGCTCCAAACCTCCCGCAAACCTAAGTCGTCACCCCCACTGTGAACCAATTCAGAGCAGATCTCCTC